CTCTTTCCAAAAAGAACAAAAGATATTATTTCAATCAACCAATGTTCTATCCTACCATTTTAAGCAAGTCATCAGCCAAAATTTCAAAAGCTAGAAATTTACCAGATTCCGGTATACAAGAAAATAAGAATTAAAACGATTATAGTAAATGCAAATGAGGATAAGAAAATCTAATGCTTTGTATACGCTAACTACCAATACAAGAACCTAATTTAAAACCTATTATAAGAACTGATCCTCATACGGTATCATTATCACTTCTTAACCATAAAAAAAGGCTTAAAAATCCAAAATGGTCATCTATTTACAAAATTTCAGCTCGTTTATAGAAGCGTACAAGAAATAAGAGCATTTGGCGACTTAAACAATCCAATTAGCAGTAGTTTTTAAAAGTTTCAGCCCATCCATAGAACAAAAAAAAAATATAGATCCATTTGAGAATTGGGAACATTAAATGAAAAAAGTAACTTTAGCAACCCACAACCAAGCATTCTCTGCTTCCTAAAAAACTGCTACATTCACTTTTTTTTTCCTCTCACGTTTCAACAACACCACCATAATTCTCCTTATATCCAAAACCATACCTTAATGTCCATCTAACCACTCTCACAACATAACTCCACTAACATATTTCCTTTTTCAACATTTTTTTTTATGTTGACAATAACCAACAACACTTGAAGTTTTGTTTCAGAACCTTTTGAGCTTCTTTATTGTTTATTTATAGTGCACACTCTTCAAAATGAGGTCATGAGAAGATAGAAACTTAGAATTCCATTTAATTTGCTGAAAGGAGTTCCTCTTTCCTCCAGCCTTACAATATGCTAGCCAGATGAAAATCAGTACACAGCCAACTTTTGCCCACAGCTAAAATCTTTAAAATGTTCAGCAACCAAGTTTGAATAGATGCCAATGGAAGGTGACAACATGTTATCAGTCTATCCTTACTATTATAAAGTACTTCTTTCTTGATTTAAAATCAATTGGAGATAGTTATGTGAGGCCATGTTTTTCCCTTTTTTAAGAAAATAAAATTAATTTCAGAAATGTATTGCACCAAATCAAATCAACTAATCAAGAATGCATGTTAGGACTTAAAAGCTAAAAAAAGAGTCGAGTAAAATAACAGCATATCAGATGATTTCCATAACCTTTTATTTCCAATGCTGGCAAAGGATCAACAGCCGCTTTAGATGAAGTGGCACCAACCCTCAATGGGATATACACGTGAGATTGCAAATATATATATATATATATATATATATATATATATTCAAGTAGGTACACTTTTAGGCCATCTCAACTCCAATAGTCACGAGAACTCACGACACCTTGTTCTTTTAAACTAATTAATAACTCGAGAGAAAGGGAAATTAAAGAAGAAAGCAAGCATGTGTAGATAAATACAATTTTCGAAACAAGTTAGAGTAAGAATTTCTCAATTCATATTCTTAAAAGGGGATCAAATTATTGGCAACATCACTCGAGCAACATATCAATAAGAAGCTCTTTATGTAACTAAAACTCAGTTAAAGTTTGCAAAAACATGAACACAAAGCAAATTAAGGAAAAAATTAAGT